CGAGTTAGGATTAATTTCGAGACATTTCTGGTCTCATACAAGTTCAGAAGATCACACGTTTGCACGCATTCCAGACCATTTAACCTGTGCGCATGCGTTAAATTATTAGTTGTTTTAACGCGTGCTAGCCTGCGTCAGGGTATCAAAAATATTTCATGGGAGGAGTACTTCAAAATCCTCAAACATTTGTTTTTGGCTGATGCTTTATCGATTAAATTTTGGCCAGTCGTCCGCAAGAAATCTGTCTATAACAGTCTGTAGCTCGAGCAAAGGTCTATTATCGGTACTACATGAAACTCGGCTATCAGGCATTTTACGTGATAACTAGAAAGTCCCAACCAAGAGAACCGAAAATTTCGATGCAAGAGTCGGTGAAAAGCGCCACTCATATAAAAAATGGATAAAAACCCTCGACTACGTTTTAGAAAACCCGAAAAACTACTGAAATTCGCAAACAAAACTACCACGATCCGTCAGCCTGCACATCTTGACTTTGTCTCGTCGATCAGAATTTTCCTGACGTTTTCTGAGCAATGTTTTGAGTGTTTCGGAGATTTTTTGACCATCAGCAACAAAAAATTACATAGAAGACCAAAATGCACCTTTTTCATCGACTGGTTGTACAGGTTTACCCTATCTCATTCCTAGACCTTCTTAGATTTCCCCCGTCAAGATCTTCCAGGATCCTAAACTTCTAGGATCTTGGCCAGATTTACTAAAGATCCTGCAGACTTCCAATACCATCCTATTGTTAGGAACTTACAATAAATAACTAAGATTCTGTGCCAGGATCCTAGACGTTTTCTAACACTAAGAACTCATTGAGAAATATTCAAGATCCTGGCTAAGATTTTGTCAAGATGCATGGTACCATTTATTTCACAGAAGTTCATGCGAGATCCTATAGGATCTTGCTAAGATAAAATGCTTCAGGATCCCGTTTCGCACTGCTTAAATGAACATGGCATCTTAGTATAAGGAAATGGCTTCTTTTTTCTAGCTTATTCTACCTTTCTGCTTTACGCCTTTTAATTGTCGACGCCTCATGACAAGGAAACAAAATCCTGGTAAGAACCAAAGCAGAACTCGCAGAGCTAGGCTCTAAACAGAAAGTGTAATGAATTTCCATGAAATTTGGGAATTCAGATAAATAATTTTGATTTAAAAGATTGCTTTGGATTATTTAAGATCCTAGGTGGGATCCTATTGAAACTTACAGGAACTTGTGACCAGAAATTTTAAAGCTTTACTAGGATTATCTTAGGACAAAGATCCTGAACATAGGATCTTATCCTATCAAAACTTGAAACTTTTTGGTCACAAGTTCCTTCGACAGGATCCTGTACAAAATTCTAGCACAATCTTGCCTAGATCTTGACAGGAAAAGACAGGATCTTGACAAGAATAGTTCAGGGTTTCCATCAGGGTAGTAACTATAGATCCAAAAAACTCCTTCTCGCGATACTGTAGCACTGCTGTGTTCGTCGTTCTTAACTAAACACCAGCAGTCTTTGATTTCCCATTTGTTAGTGTGCTAACATTTCGACTAGATACTCATTAGTCACAAGTTGGAAACAAAAGTTCTCAGCCCACAACGTCACGTGATATGATATCGCTCGTTTTGCTTTGCACTTCCTATGCCTTGCGTCATCTCTTTCTTAGTTACCCCAAACAAAGAACTGACATCAGTTAGGGAATAAATCGTCACATCAACTTTAAGATGGCACAGCTTACCAGGAAGTATCGTACGAGACGATTGCCTGCTTTTGCTTCGACTGCCCAAAATCGCCGCCAAGATGACCGCCACAATGATGACCGCTGCTGCTATGCAGAGGCCGATGCATATTCGTTTCTTTGCGTACCAATGACTACGAAAAAAACATGCATTGGCTCAACAATAGATATTTACCGGTTTTTGATGTTATGGCTCCCTCTGTGATCGAGCTCATATTCTATCTATGTATTCGTGATCTCTTTCGCGCTCTCTCTTTATGTGTTCTTGATGTATTCTCTCTCAGCTATAAATAGGCGGTCCCCATTTGAATAAAACGCACGGCCACCTACCGGTGTTGAACATGGATCTGCTCATTTGTAAGAATGGTCTCATATTTGAGCGATTCCAGTTTCATCTCCTATTCGTAAAAGCAGATCATCAGTTCAATATTATGCTTTGCTGGCAATGACTTATTAATCAAAAACTTGATTATTAATGCAGCTGTTAACTTTGTGGTAAAGTTACTTTTATGTACAATCAGCTTTACGGTTGAAAATGACCATATGAAGGATCGAAATATTACCAAAATAAAAATAAAATAAAAAACAGCTGCATTAGTAGTCAAGTTTTACATTATCAGTTTATCGCAACTCGACACATCTATACCCACCGTGCTCGGACGGGCCTCATTTAAGAGTGGAAACAATTGAGCACCTTAAAATGATAATGAACATTAGTTACATAAATTGATAAAGGATATTCGAATGTATACTAGTTTAATGATACCAATCATACTAAGCATCCAAGAGCCACACAAAAAATCGTCCTTGGATTCACACGGTTGAGCAATCACACATTTACCTTCGAAAGGTGGCTCGAGGAGTTCACGTGGGGGCTGTTTCTGTTTCAATTGGACAATGTAGAGGTCGTGCGACGGATGAAGTTGTGCCATAACTTGGAAATAAGTTCCAGGTAATAACAATATCTCGTCTTCGATTGCGTAATGCGAATGACCACGCACACTTCGTCCATTGAATGTTTCGATTGTAAAGATAGTTCTGTTTCCGACTTTGCCTACGTATAGATCCGACTTGAGAAAATCCAAGGATGTTGTGCACGATGAGAATGCACACCATGCAAATTCAGCGCCCTTCGGATATTCAGCACTCTGATCATTGTGTGCGCCACGCCAGGCGATTAGAACTGGCATGGGAGGAAGTTTGGCCAAAGCAGTGAGAAACAATTTCAAATAGCGATACCACGGTCGCAGTTCGGCTTGATCCTTCTTTCTTAGCGTTTCATTGAGATGAAAATAAAGACTTGCATCCGGAATGTCGCCTTCCCCATCCCATTCCATGCTGTAGAGACGAATAGCGGCTGACTCGTCTGGGGTGAGGTTATCGGCAGGATCTTTTGACTCCTCTTTGGCTCGAGACACGTACAATGACAGACAAGGAACGATCAGTAGGAGCGGTTCGCAAGCTTTTTCCAAGGAAAGCAGTGGCTCAGCAGCATAGCCCGTAATGGGCTCCAGCGTTTGTTTGGGCTCATCTGTAGAGACCAGTAGATAGCGTGGATTTCGATGTTCATGTAAAGCGGCGGCCATATAAGTATGTTTGTAATCCTGTCACATGTTATTTGTTAAAAGAAAGCGAAAATACTCGCTCCTTTACATAGCTGGAGCACTCATCCGTATCGCATTTATATTACACGCGCGTCTATTGCGCGATGCAATACTGCTGAAAGACTGACCTAGTATCGTATTACGACCTGCAACCTTTCATGATGTTTATTAACTCTTTCAACACTCTATTCTCTGAATGTGCCTTTTCGACTTATGGAAAGTCGACATAGTTATGGCGCTTATTGCAGTCCTGGAGGTGTCATTCTTGATTCTGGACGTCTGAAGAATGTACAAAGAAACTGGCAAAGTGAAACTGTAACACTACAAGCGGGCGTGATATGGGATGAAGTTTACAATGATTTGAAAGGAGCAGATTATGTTGTGATCGGTGGGAGTCGTAGGTTTTACACTAGGAGATGGTTACAACTCCATGTATACGCGCTCATTCGGACTGGCATTCAACAATTCAGTTTTACTATAGCACTATACAACGGAAGCATTGTAACAGCATCATCCACTATAAACTCGAATCTATACTAGGCACTTCGAGGTGGGGGTGGAAGAAATTTCGGGTGTCTTAGAAATGACTCAGAAAATTCACCGAATCAATGAAACGAAACTGAGCGCTGGTGAGTTTTCGTATTTCGATGCTACTGGGATCAATTCTAGAGATTTCAAAGAAGTTCTTAATTGGTTGACATTCCTGAAAAAGGTTGCAGACAATGATAATCGCACTTAGAAAACAGAACGTTCAGACAGATCACAATATTTATTGACAAGAAAAGCATAATAAGACAAGATGTTACATGAATTGTGTCAGAGGAGTGCATCAAAAAGCCGCAGGGCTTATAACTACAACAAAACGTTGTGGTAAACGTACACTTGATAGAAAAGTAATGTAAATGTATATATAATGTGGTATATATGGTAGTTGGATAATGAGCTCATCGCGGTTTAAAGTGCATAAACGATGGAAAATACGATAGTAGCTGACTGGACGAAAATAGAGACGGTGATTGGTCAGATTAGGAAGGCCTCAATCGTTAGCAAGTTTCACACTATCTGTAGTATAATCGAACTGCCGACTTATCAGTCGGGCTACAAGTTTTTCGGACGGACTCAAAGAGTGTACTGTGCGTAATAAACTTAGTATCAAAAACTGCGCCACATAGTCAAGTTTAGCCAAAACGTAAGTTTTGTAACAATGAAGACGAAGAAAAGCCGGAGAATCAGCAAATTTTTTTCTTGATAGCGAAAAGTTTGAGTGTATTTTCATATTTGAGAGATTCTCCATTGACGTTAAAACTGGGTTTAAACTGAGCATGTCTGTCACAGTACTACCGAACACTCATTAGCCACTAAGTGGATGTAAGTCCATCACACTTGTCGTCATCACTGTCGAAGACAGTTATCTTTTCTACGACTGTGTACTATTTTCTCGTTGTTAAGATATTGTTGCAACAGGATTCCGATTCGCATCAACGTCATTGAAATGATCACTAACAAGAATATCTAATGTGTTTGTTGACGGTTTTTGTTTACGTAGTTTTGAGGCCGTCTTTTTCGTTGTTGTTCCCGTTTTATTCACTTTCGCTGCCTTCTTCTTTCTGATGACTGATAGAACGTATTCATCTACATCTGTTACAATTACACCGTGCGGTCGAGATAGCAAATGTTTCTTTGCTCTTGCTGTTTCTTTCGATTGACCGAAATGTTTTTCTACGATTTTATCGATAGCCGCGAGTGATTCATTCAGGTCTAAATGAAGATGTGAGATATGCCATTAGTTATTTCAGGCTGATTGAAACTTTGAGCACTACCTGCCGATGATGTAGATGGTTTTGGTGGTGGAGTTGTATCCAAAAACGAAGATGATAAACTTAAATGAGTAGCAGTTGGAAATTGAATGTGATTGAGCGCGATTTAATGAACTCGTTGTCGTTGTTTTAGGGGAAGCTTCATCTTGAATATGTTCACCACTGTCTATAAATGAAAAATAACCAGTGAGAAGGAAAACTTCCAGAGGTAATCGTTAGCTCACTCGAAAATAAATTTGGATCTGATGGATATTTGACTAATTTCTTTCGTTGTGGCGCTGTTATTGTTATTGCCGACGTCTGATTATCTGGATAAAACGAATTATCAAAGTCAACTGATGCTGAACGGGGTAATTTTTTTGATGCCGTTGTTGATCCATTTTTAATTTATCTTTCTTTCCGAATAACACGTGGATCATATGGATGGATACCTGCTTTAGCAAACGCTGAAGAACAACGAGCCGACAATAGAGCATAATCATACAATTTTGCGAATAATCTTACAAAATCCGGTTTATCCAGTGATTTTGCCCGTGTTGACTTGTTGTGTTCCCACAATAATTGTCTCCACTGCGTTTTCACGTATTTCAAGGTATACACGTCTAATGGTTGCAAGATGTGTGTGGCATGAGATGGGAGGCATAACAGATGAATATCATACTCCATTGCCAGACGAACAGTTTTGATCGACAAATGAGACCAGTGGCCATCGAAAATCAAGAGTATTGGCCGATCCTTTGTCCCTGGGACGAATAATTTCAATAAATATTCATAGAAACAGTGCGCGTCTATCCACCCCGATTTTGTACCATTAAAAGCCGCTCCTCGAATAACATTCTTTGGACACCAGTTATCATACAAATTTAATGCTTTATAGATAATGTACGGCGGTAAACATTTGCCATCAGCACTAATTGTTAGCAGAACCGTTGTATGTGACTTTCCTGTACCACCATGTACTGACTTGCATATTTTGTGTCACGTTTAACTAATACTCTCTGTTTACCAGGGTGATCAGTGAAACCACTTTCATCGGTGTTGAATATTTGTTGTGGCTTGTCGAATAAATCGAGTTTTGTTAAAAGCGCATGTAACTTGGCAAACCATCCGTCGACACATTCTCGAGTGACACATTTTACCCTTGATTTTTCTAATTGTATGCTTTTCATTAATTTTAATTCGTTTTCCCACCGTTTCACCAACCCATAGTACCACTCTTTTGTCGGCGTTCCATTTGAAAAACGAGATGATAAATTCATTAAGTCAACGTACTCGGCAGCATACTTTAACACATCTTGACAAGTTGATAGTTCACCATATTCTTGTAACGTTGTTATTAATTTCACTAAATAGGCTTCTTCTTCTCTTGTTAACGCCGTTGATCGTCCCCTTTTTGCAACAGAATTACGGGCGAGTCTTGATGCAAACGTACCTCGTGGAACATTCGTTATTTCAGTAGCTTTTGCATGCGTCCACTCTCCATTTCGAATTTTTTCGACCGCTCTTGCAAAATCTTCTTCACTGTATGTAGCTTTCGCTGTTTTATGAACATATGTTCGAACCATTTTTAGACTAAACTAAAAGTTTACTGATCTGATCAGAGAAGTAGGATTGTTCCAGACAATAACTTTTTGTCCTTATATATTCTCATACTATTGCCGGGTTGGTTCGAAAAGGAACCAATCCAATGTATATAAGAAACAACCCACTAATGCATTATAAAACAACCTGATAGGGGCCGCATAATTCAATTACTACCATTTTGTTATTGTTCAACAGGCGTTTTAGGACAATTATCAACAGTATTAAACTGTATCAATCAGTTTTTGTTCACACATTTTGAACAGTTTTCTGTATCTTGTACGTCTTTAACATTTGTTATAGCCTAGATATAACGAAAATCTCCTTATCTCTTAGTTTTCTACATTTTGTGTGTACCAAAGTCTCAAACTCAACTTATTCTGTCACTCATAATATAGATATTAGATAAAATAATCCTGACTACATAGTTAATCGCTATATCCTACTCTTCCTACAAATATGTGAGAAAATGATCAAGGACTCACTGTGAATAACTAAATAATAATTTTGTTCAACGTGGAATTTCGTTGTCTCTGAATGAAACGAGCGAGAGTTTGTCCGCGATTGTAGAGAAGAATATTCTGCATCTTTTTATAAGCGCAAATATTTTTGTGAGAGATGTACTTCGATTAGAAACTGATTTCCAAGAGATTCCTCGCTTTCCAGGTATTTTACATGGTCGTTTCCATTTACCCCACTAAGTTTCACGTACGTTTCCAGTTACCCCAAATGGGGTAATCGGAAACATTTGAAAATTTCTCAGCGTTTACCTTTTTAATTAGAGCTAAGGCTAATTAATGAGCAGAGCTGGGATTTTCTCACCAACTGTAAAGCAATAATTGGTCTATTTACCTGTGCAAAAATCATTAATTAGTATGATTAGCTTAACGAGAAAACTGTTTTTTACTGATGAATTATTTCCTGTGTAAAATACATGGCGTATCCAATTACCCCATCAATTTCTATTGCTGCTTCCAATTACCCTAAGTGGGATAATTGAAAATGTTCGTTAGAGCCTTCAGCAAAACACCGGGAAATTCGCTTGGGACGCGAAGTTTTTTGAAAATTTTTAGACGGGCTTATAGAGAACTTCTTCCTCTACCTACCTGTACCTCGTTATAGTGGCAATTTAAGACTTTTCAACGTCATTTTTGGATGAAAAAATTGAAAAACATTGATCTGTGAAGTGCAGGAATAAACAGTGAAATTTTCATGTCTGATCGCGTTTCGAAATTTCAAAACCATTTTTGCTTATTTTCCACCGAAAACTGAGTCTGGCAAGCTAATTTTGGAAATTTTAGAAGCTAAAATGGATTTAGAATCTGCGAAGGACGAGCAGAATGGTAAAGGGGCTGTCGGTCAATTTTACGAACCTAACTAGTCCTGCGATTTTGGAGATAAAATTCTTTCTTTTACTTCATTCTGATCGCGGTACTGGTGCAAAAGAAGACCGTACCTGTTTGCTGGCACCGTGTTACCGGATCGTCGGTCATTCAGCTATATAGTCGTTTACCAAATCGAGGTTATTGTGGAACAAAGTATCCAACATATTATGGCGAAACAGTTATCGGTGCTGTTTGTTCGTTCTATCTTTTTTGAAAAATGTTGTTCTGTTGCCGAGAAATTAGATTTTTTCGAAATTAGTGGAAGAACAATGAAATTGGGCTCATATTTTGCCGTGTCCTCTATTAAAAACCAACTGTTCTACACAAAAAACGGCTATCTTTGGAATCAGCGTTACAAATTGAGTTGAAATATGTGTTTGTTCCGTATTGTTTTGATTTTTCTCGATTTTCTCAAAAACTGAAAGAAAAACGCAGGATTTTTACAAAAGATCCAAAATTTCCTAAAATGTCCGAAATGCTTCCAAAAATTTTTCAAAACAGATAACACGAACAAACAGCACCGATAACAGACATAGAGCGAACAATGTCGGCATTGCGGGGTGATACAAAAT